TCCTATTCCTGGCTGCCATCACTGGCAGTGAAGGGTGTATCACAGAAAATGAATATTACAATAATATTTTTGAAAATGACACAAATAATAAAATATTACTTATTGTTATTGTATTGAGTAATAGACTTGGAGAAATGATATGAAGTCATCATTCATATAAGCTTCATGCCCAGATTTTTTAACAGCAAGGCACCTGGATCCAATAGGTTAAACTTTAAACAGTTTAACCTATTGGAAGAAATCAACAGTTTGTTGATTTCTTCAGATTATGAAAATTTAATACAATGATTTTCTTTACTTTTGATTGCTGTTCATTTTTGATTCAGTAGTTTGAGTGGATATATCAATTGATTTTTTTTTTTTTTTTTTTAAGGTTCACCCTGAGTGTAACCTTAGTGTGTGGAGAGGAACGATGGGCATGGGGACGCCTGCTGGAGAAGCTGCAGCTGGCCATCTCAGAAAGGCCACAGGATCTGGCTGAATTAAATGTCACTGAGTGGACTCTGGCCCAGCTGAAGCTCAAGTTTAATCTTTAGAGTATTCACTCTGAAATAGTACAGATGTTCATGTCTTATTTGCAATATTTATGTTATGTACTTAAGAAGATGTTGCTGGAGTAGTTGGTAAGTGGTTACTTTTTTATGGATTTTCATCCCAATGAAATGAAGAGCTTTTCTGATTACCGTCAGTTCATTTTGCTAGCAGTGAAAGGATGATCATATGTGGAATGGTACAGTATCTATTTATAACAGTTCAATTGTGTATGTAGTGTTTTGAAGGATAATGATATCTAGTACAGTCAAAGCTCAAAAATCTAGATGTCAAAGTTGATTCCATATATCAATAACTTGTAACATGTAGGGTCAGTTTGTAAGTTTGCTTTCCCTTAATTCTTTGCATATATAGTACATGCTTTTCTTGGTACACATTTTGTCAGTTTGTTGATCTGCTTTGTACCAAAAGACTCAGACTCTGTAGATTACACAAATGTGAGATCTTGAAATTTAAAAGTACCTTCCAAGAGAAAATAAAAAGCGTATGCTTTAAGGATTTTGTAAAAAATGAAAAAAGGAAGGGGGAGGATATGCAAGAATGTTGCAAACACCAAGCAAAGAATTGGTACGTGAATCCGTGCTGAATGATGTGTTATTAGAAGTCCATTGATTTACAAAAGGAAGGAAGGGGGATATATATAAACACTCAGAATCTACTAGCATTTGCAGTAACACCCTTATTGTTATTGCTTTCTGATTTTCAGATTTTTGAACTTTGACTGTAAGATCTTGGTTTTCTTATTTTTATAAGCTTTATGTTTGAGAAATAACATCATTGGAAGATTGTCTGAACAGTGACTTTTTCTACAAGATTGAATGTGTGAATGTTATTTATAAGGGAAATAATTCATTGCATTTTCATGTTCTCATACAAGTTGAGGCTATATTCATATGTGTTTTGTCCTGTTATATATTTTGTTGCATTTCTTGTTACAAAACTTTACCAATATTCAGACCTTGGATTTTCATGCAGGGAAACTGACCTACATGCATAAGTAGTTGTGAAAATGAGTAGTGGAAAAGAATAACAGAGGCTTCCTGTGAACTGACTTAATAGGGCAGTGGTTCTTTGGATTATAAACTTATCACAAGAAGTTCTACTAATCAGATTATTATATAACTGGAGATACACACTGAAAATTCATGCAATTTTGGTCTATTCTGTAGCAGGTATAATTTAAACATGAACACAAGTGAAATCTGAAAAGAATAAAAGATCGTTTGAAATCAGGCATACCTATAATAATAACCATCATGTGATATCAGAGATACCTATCATTAATAGAAGTCATGTAAAACTGAGATATAACTACCATTAGGTGCATGCCATCAGGTAGAGAAAACATAAACTTGTCTATTTGGTGAATTTTCTCACCTGAACATGGTAGTGTTTCTTTTAACCAGCAATAATAGAAAGAGATTGGATTCAGCTCTGATTAACACTCTGCTGGAGAATGTTTTCACAGTTTTGGGATAGAAGCCAGTTTTCACATCGGTAGAGAAGGATGTTCATATCAGAATTTACCTGACTTTAGGACCCAAAGGCTTAGGGCACATAGGAATAAAGGATAAAAAAAATCATATGAATGTTTATAAGGGCTGTCCTATCAACGCTGACAATTAAACACAAACATTATTTCTACCACCATTATAAGTGCAGTATAGCTATTGTAAAATTGTGAAACAGCAAACTAAGGGATAAGCTCTAATGTTATGTATGAGATATACAAGATATTACATGATTAACTACAGGGGGTAAACCATTTGCCTTCACACAAACCCTTTACCAATATGTGAATCATATGCCTGTAAATCTGTGTAAAAAATTTCTCCAAGTTAGTAATCTTGAGAAAATGGAGAAAATGTTGCTGCCATTGCTACTACTTGTGTCAGTTTCTCATTCACATGCTTGGAAAGTCATGGTTAAGATGTAGATTTCTTTATAAACAGCCATTATATTCATGTCCTTTTGATGGTTGGTCATTGTTTATATTTCATACTGTGTATGAGATTTGGTCCAATCGTCCATCTTTTACATATCTTTCACCTTGAAGTATTTTTGAGTATGGTGTTCATCTTCATCACACTGGATTTCCATTGTCTCTCCTTTCTCATTCTCACTCTGCTTGTTATGTATATTAGCTGCCATTTATAATAACAGATCCTTTGGTAATTTTTCTATTTTTGTGTTCAATACTGTGATCATTTCCATGTTTAGTGGGATATTTTGATATCAATGAAAAAAAAAATGTCTGAAACAAATTCATTAATTAACAATAGCCAGGACCTGTTATAAACTTTTCATACCCTTGCTACACCTCATGTGATGAAATCATATATTTTGGCAGTATTACACATAGTTATTTTTCTTAAAGCAGTGTAAATGTGACTTGTGGGTAGACAGTACCAAAGAGCATTACATTATGAGGGTGACAGGCTGTAGGGATTTTGATGGTATTGCAAATCTGATGATGAATAAGTAATATTAAGTAGAATTTCACTAAAGAGTTCTGGCTTCCATAGCATTTAATTTTAATGCATATTAGCATAGGTTGATAATAGCTAAATGTTGTGAATGATACAGCCCATATAATACCATCTAGTACTCAGAATGGGCTATGTATATTTGTTTCCCCATTGCACAAGTTAAAGACCATGGTCTTCTCACCAAGAGGTTTTGCTTTATAGATGAAAGATGAAACTGCCTTGCACTTCTTCCATTGTTATCACACATGACCCTAAAGCAAGACAAAATGGTCCAGCATTCAAATGATTTGTTGATTATTTGAGTGGAGGAAACCAAAACTTGTTCAAAGATTCAGATTTTATGTGGGAAATGATGATAAAATGACAGCACTTTAGTTATGAATACCTTCTTAAAGTTTAGTAACATCTTAACGAGAGGTTTCATATGTAATGCCTGCTTCTTGCAATTTCAAAAAACTGTTCTTACGTTTTTCATAATCATTTCTGGCTTTGCTTAATAGCAAAATAACCACAAATTTCAGTGGCTTATTTTTTATTGTGAGGATAATTGTATATTCTTTGATTTTTTTTCCATATAATAGCAGAATAACTACAGAGTGCAGTGGCTCTTTTTTTTTTATATGGATAGTTATAATTTATTTGGTTTCTTTTTCATATTGATGTCACCCCAACTTTTTAACCAATATGTAAATTATTGAAGATTTGTAATGCCAGTTACTTTGTTCAACAGTAAATTTCTAATATCACTTCTGTGCCAGTTACATGTAGACCCAGTCTGAAATTGTCTTTTTAATATTTTTTTTAGTCTAATTCTGTTCTCTAGGATGTCAGAAAATTACATTTTTGAATCTAATGCATGTAGCTTTTTTCATAACTGATCACTTCAAAAAAAGACACATTTCTTATTTTTGGTGTCATTTCGGTATTATCAGCACAGTGCTTTTGTAATGTTTCTCACCACATTGACGATATAAAGTGGGCATTTACTGCACTTGAGTACAATGAAGGAATGAATGGATCTGTAATAAATGTAATACTATTTTTCAGTATTAATTCCATTTAGATGGAGCAATGCAAGGAAAAAACGCGTTTCTAAAATTATGGTACACTTTTTGATTTGTACGTATGAAATTATATATTTCACTTTTCATTCTTTTTTTTTCTGTTTTACATTTGTTATGTAGTACAATGTAGTATTAATTCTGTAATCTATAGAATTAGTTTGAATATTACAAGAGAAAGTGAACAGCATTGTACACGGCAGTCAAAGCAGGGATGTAGAGTGTACTTGTTGATATGTGAAACTACCTCTTTTACTTTCAGAGTTTGTTTAATGTTAAGTGAATTAGCCATAAAACACCTTGCAAATAGTGAGACTGTAAAACTTATGATGGTGTGAGAATTGAGGACTGTTCAAGAGATTAGTGAATCTTGCACTGTATTTTTTCTTCATTTGAGGACTTTCTATTTACTAATGCTTAAATATATATTGTATTCTTTTGTTTTGTTTTAACCAAAGAGTGTGTTTGTGTTGCATTGAAGAGTTTTTGTGCAGTAAGAATATCACATGTAAAGCATTAACTGTGTTTTGAGTAACTTATGTAGTGCATGGATTTTGAGTAGTTCTGTTAGAAATAAATGGATAGCATATGTTAATGAGTTTTTACTAATTTATTTTGATATCAAGGAGTCGATTTTATATACAAAATATCTGAAATTTCATATGGGAAGAAATGTAAGATCTGATTACACTAAACAATTTTTTGGGTAGAGATTTTGTCATGTTTAATTACTTATAGCAGCAACCTAATTATGCAAGGAGTTAAATAAGTAAATAAAATGCATTAATGAAACCACATCCCTGTGTAACCAGCATGGTAGATCTTTGAAACCTTATTACATGTTACCTGAATGATTAATTTGTCTGAAAGTCCACACAAATAAAATATATCTTCATAATATCTTTCTGTAACATTTGATATTCAGTGATGCATTTTTTTTTTTGTCCACAAATTAACCAGAGTAGATACAGCCACAGGTTATTGATTTGAAAGTCTTTTTTCTGTGAGATTCTAAAATGGGTAAATATATTTTGCAATAAAAAGTAAGCTGTTCCCCATATTTTTAAACTGACTCGGTTAACTACAACTATTATGTGCTAAATAAATAAATGGCATTAGATGAAATCACCAGAATCTAAACTGTAAATGATGACAAACTATTGTAAATTATCATTATTTAAAAACAAAAGAAATAAAGAGAGTTGAATAAAAGATGAAGAGAAAGTTCATTCATTAGAAATTTAGTTTTTATCTCTAAAAGTGATTCTGTAGCTGATTTTTCTTCTGTCCATGTAAACTCACCTGTATTACCAGATTTAATCCATTCATTAGACAAAGGACAGCTAGTAAACAGGTTTGCATGTAGGGAGCTTCTCTTTGTAAACTAAATTTATGTAATAATCATGGAAACCATTATTAACATTAATAAGGCCTAATATATAAAATGCATAAAAGAAAAAGGATAGTACGGAGTATAAAAATATAGGCCTTGACTTAATACAGATGAATTTATCATGCAGCTTACCTTTCTACCGAGTAAGTGAATAGTAAAATCGAATGCTGTGATAGCTTTGACATTAATTTTTCAAGGAAGATGCAGAAACTGGTAAATTGTGTCAAACATTATCATCTTCCTTGATATTAGTAAAAGATCAATAAATAAATAAAGAGAAACATTGTATGAGATGCATTATGGCATATATTTCTCCTTTGCCATTGTAATAGTCTTTGTTACTTGCTGTTAACTGTACGAGTGGTGTAACAGATGGAAAACATTAAGGAGAAATATAACCAATATCCTATAATTACGGAGAGAATAAGTTATCACCAGCTGTCTTTTTGTTTAGTCCCTTGTCAATTGGAGTATGTAACTTTAACGTTTTGGAAGGAAATGTCTACATAATATTTTCAGTAATAGTATCAAAATTTTAGTATATATAGTGCAGTTTCAAAGGACTTTTACTTCCCATTATTTTATGAGTGAAGCCAAATATTTCATATTCATTCTTTTTCTTATGACTGGCAGATCTGAAGAATCTATATAGAGGAAGAGTGGAAAAATGATTAAAGTTTTGTGTTTTGATGAAGAGAGATAAAGATGCTTTTTGAAAAAAAAAATGATTAGACTATCTTTAAAATATAAGACTGTCTTTGAAATTTGGGAGAATTTTCATAATCTTCATAGCTGTGGAGGAATCATGTCCAATTTGTATCATTGGCAAGGATACCTTACATCCATTTTCATAATAGTTGTGAATCAAGAAAAAAGTGGCAGACTATTGTGTATCACTTTACATCCCATGTATGATAAGAAAAAGTTGAAACATTAAAGGACATTAAGACATATTAGGCATCTAACAGAAAGGTGATCCAGTGGCAGGAAAGATGTTGACAGCATCATTGTTGGTCTGTTATTTCCATCTTTGAGTGTGCTGTTACTGTGGTCTGTGATTAAGTTATGTTATTTGCGATACAACTAGTACAGACTAGAAGACAATACTGTAAGCCTAGTATGTAGACCCTGGTATGTTTTGAAGAACCAGTAGGCTATCTTGGGGTATATATATATATATATATATATATATATATATATATATATATATATATATATATATATATATATATATATATATATATATATATATATATATATATATATATATATATATATATATATATATATATATATATATATATATATATATATATATATATATATATATATATATATGCAGGAGAGAGAGAGAGAGAGAGGAGAGAGAGAGAGAGGAGAGAGAGAGAGAGGAGAGAGAGAGAGAGGAGAGAGAGAGAGAGAGAGAGAGAGAGAGGAGAGAGAGAGAGAGGAGAGAGAGAGAGAGAGGAGAGAGAGAGAGAGAGAGAGAGAGAGAGGAGAGAGAGAGAGAGGAGAGAGAGAGAGAGAGAGAGAGAGGAGAGAGAGAGAGAGAGAGAGGAGAGAGAGAGAGAGAGAGAGAGAGAGAGAGAGAGGAGAGAGAGAGAGAGGAGAGAGAGAGAGAGGAGAGAGAGAGAGAGGAGAGAGAGAGAGAGGAGAGAGAGAGAGAGAGAGAGAGAGGAGAGAGAGAGAGAGGAGAGAGAGAGAGAGGAGAGAGAGAGAGAGAGAGAGAGGAGAGAGAGAGAGAGAGAGAGAGAGAGAGGAGAGAGAGAGAGAGAGAGAGGAGAGAGAGAGAGAGGAGAGAGAGAGAGAGAGGAGAGAGAGAGAGAGGAGAGAGAGAGAGAGGAGAGAGAGAGAGAGAGAGAGAGGAGAGAGAGAGAGAGAGAGAGGAGAGAGAGAGAGAGGAGAGAGAGAGAGAGAGAGAGAGAGAGGAGAGAGAGAGAGAGAGAGGAGAGAGAGAGAGAGAGGAGAGAGAGAGAGAGAGGAGAGAGAGAGAGAGAGGAGAGAG